TGTTTTTTTCATTTAAAGATAAATCAAAGCTATGCTTGCCGATTCTTATGTTTTAATCTTATAGCTAAAATATCAAATTACAATATTCTCTAATTATTCGCACAAAACAAGATATCAAGAGAAAACAAAAAAAACATACTAATATATCCTTAAAAGGATGCAACCATTTAAAAACTTTTTCTTTTTTTGACCAAGAGTACGTTAACTAATAGTTGAACTTCTCAATCATCTATTTTATTGAGAGGTAGATATGGTTGGTAGCTAGATGTAAGAGTCTTGTCTACTGCCGTATCCATACACAAGATCCACTCTCATCCCATATTCACTCTCTCTGGAAACTCAAGCATCATTGTTTTATAAGAATTCAGTTTTGAAAAGAAACATGGCTAACAGTAGAAGACCCTGAAAATATCAAAATCAACACATACTATTCTTCGAAGAATGGAAGGTATTGGACATGAGAGTGTGAGAATGCAGAAAAGAAGAAGGATTACACATCGCTGACGACAACAGCTGCAAGTATATGAATAGTTAGAACGCAATCTATTAGTTTATCAATTCCTAAAAACCAGTATTTTACATCTCAACACGAATAAACCAAATATTGTTAGCACTTTGTATATTATTTGATTGGGTGTGAGTGCGGGTGGGTATGGGTGTATTCTATCAAAGGAAAAGAGCTAATCCTGGATCTCCGAATCACAACTGGTGTGGGTGTAAAAGACAAGAAAGAGCAACACTTACATCCACATCCCGACCTATTAAAAATTTCTTTTTCTGTGGATATACACACACATGCATGCACTGTTTTTCATGTTTGATACTCTTTTCTTATGATTCTTGCTTCAGCTGACAGGTTAGCCTATAGGAGTGTTTCATACGACAATTTCTATATGCATGTTATTCGTCTATTTTTAATAAAATTCAACAATGAAAAATAAAAACTGAAGACAGAAACATCTGAAATAATGAATAAGTATAGTAAACTTCGTTTACATGGTTGTTATTCTTCTATAAAAAGTCATGTTCACATCAATTTATATTGATTTCATGGATGAAAAGAGAATGACAACTATATACGATGTTTGTTTGTTATTACATATTTCTACTATATGACTTTACTCTACGTAATTTTAGTAACTAGAAAGAGCCAGTGAGAAAATAGTAATGAGATGTACATATGAATATATTTCTACATGCTTGGAAGAAAAAAAAATTGGAGAAAAAAAAATAACCTACTACTATAGATCGATATATGATAAAACAAAAAAGGAAAGAAAAGAAGACAGAGAACAAGACTTTGAATCTATTTTGTTTTTAGAGAAAAAAAAATTATTTTCTATATAACATTAAGTCACCTTTCATTTAGCAAAATAAAAAAAATTCATGAAGCATGCAATTATACATTTTTATTTTGATTTACATGGACAAACAAATATATGAAGTATTAGTAAATTTTTTTTCATATTTACTCCAATATAGAAGTTGAAAATGCTATATTTTGATTAATCTATATAACTCTAACTCGTATTCATATAATAATAAAACATGATACAATATTTGGAATAATATTTATCTCACATTTTGTTCTAAAAAATTTACAATATTATTTTTTCTTAGACGTCCAACTCGTGTATAAATTCGATATGAGGTTAATTATAGTACAAAGACTTTGTCTTGGAGAGAAAAAACAAAAATTTAATGTATAAATTTTTTTATTTTATTGAAGATATGTTTTGGAAAACAATTTTAATTGTATTTTCAATATTTTTATCTATTCTTCTTTATCGTGCATATGTTGTATTTACACCAGATAAAACTATATTTGAATCATGTTTATCATCAACTGCTAATCATTCTTTGAAATTTGATCAAAATCGTCTTCGAACATTTCAAAAATTACTTCAATTTCAAACAATATCCTATGAAGTCAATAAACAAAACTTTGATGAAATTAAAAAATGTCGAAATTTTATAAAAGAACATTATCATGATTTAGTAACAAACTACTCAGAATTTGTTGATTTATATGATATTGCAGAATATTCATTATTATATTCTATTCAAGGAAAAAATCTAAATTTAAAACCATTCCTTTTTTCTGCTCATATGGATGTTGTACCAGCTAGAGATTTAAATCGTTGGAAATATCCACCATTTGATGCTCATACAGATAAAGATTTTATTTATGCACGTGGTACACTTGATGACAAGTAATATCAAGATGATTAATTATTTCAAATTTTTCTTATTGCAAATAATTTTAGAGGAAATCTATTTGCCATGATGGAAGCTCTTAAGGTATGGTTGAATGTGCACTTTCTTGAAAAATGTTAATAATCAATTAATTTGTATGCATATTATATTTGATAAAATAAATACACTGCTCAAATATCTAATTTTTATTTTTTTTTATTTTTAATATTAAATTTCATTGTGCTTTTCTGAATAGGAATATTTACGTGTATATGGTCAACCATCACGAACATTTTATGTCGCATTGACACATAATGAAGAAGCAGGTCATTCAGGAGCTATGGGTATTGCTCATCATCTTTCAAAACAACCTTTTGGTCATAATGGTCAATTTGAATTTGTACTTGATGAAGGCACAACTATTCTCGAAGAAGTATTTCCCACTCTTAATAATCCTATTGCTATAATTGGTGTTGCTGAAAAAGGTTATATGAGTATTAAATATCGTATTGATACGGCATCAGGTCATTCAAGTATGCCATCAGCACCAACAGCTATTGGTATATTAGCTCGAGCTGTTGATAAACTTGAAAGTACATTACAACCATCACAATTTGGTCGTGGACCTGAACTAAGTCTTCTACATGGTGTAACACCTTATTTGAAATTTCCATTACGATTAGTAATGAGTAATATTTGGTTATTTGGACCTGTTATTCAATGGGTTTTAAGTCAAAAATCAGGAACAGATGCTTTACAACGTACAACAACAGCAGTAACATTTATTTCTGGTGGAGAAAAAGATAATGTTTTACCAACATCAGCTTCAGCTACTGTTAATCGTAAGAATAAAACTGACAGTAGAAACATAACAAGTGATCGGAATGTTTTTAGATAACACGTTTTTTTTACTTCTCATTCGCCAGAAAATATTTTCGACAAGTCAAAAACTATAGGACGTGACTTAAGTTTGAATATAGACTCACAAAATGTTATGTCTGTTTTGTTCAAGAGTAGTGAAGAACTTTTTGAAAGACCTGAAAAATTATCTATAATGATGAGCTAACAGTTTTTTTGTTTACCCTATGTTCTTTTTCGAACATGCTAAAAATGTCCTAGTCAATTGTTTTGTAGAACGGTCATTTTTCTACAATATGTAATATTGAACTAAGCTGTAGCTTTTATCTAGGTGAGGCGGTAAGCATTTTTCAAGCATAAAATTGTTGTCAATTTTTCAAAAATGAGTATTTAGGAAGAACGAAAATTCAGGTGCCTTGTCGAAAGACAAAAGAAAAAAACTTCAAATAGTGCATTTTGTATGGTAGCTTCTGATCTACAAGTTGATATATAAATAAAGATTTTAACTTTTAGTTTCGAATCGTAATAGTGAAAATACAAAAATTTTACGTTCAGACAAATTTTTTAGCCTTTTGAAAGATTATTTTACTATTCTTGAATTAAACTGACGAGAAAAAAATCCCTAACTGTCTAACCATTTTTTTTACCAAATCCAGTAGGTTCTTGGTAATCGATCATGCTGATTCCGAATATCGATTCGAGACCGATAGTTAGGACATCGGAGATTCATTTTTGGAAAACTACTTTTTCCTAATGAGGAAAGTTTTTCGACAAAAACTCTTTTGATCCATCAAGATTATAGAGCACGACTAGCTGATCATAAAACACTGTTTTTCTCCATTTGAGACCCATGCATGACGCAATCAGAAATATAAATTTTTCTTTTGCCTACTGATTTATAGAATAATATGTTCATCTTTTTCGATGTAAAAATTTGAAGAGAAAATAAAAAATAATATTTCTGGTTACTTCAGTAATCGTTCCCAAATGAAGAGAGAAAAACAGTGTTTCATAGCCAACTCGATATGCTTTACAATCTGGATAGATCAAACAAGCTTTCGACGACAGAATTTTCTCGCTATCAAATAATGATTTTTCAGAAATGAGTCTCTTAAGTTCTAGTTATCCATCTCATATTTATATTTGGAATCAGTATGGTCGATTATCTAAAACCCACTGAACAGAAAACAATAGCTTTTGATTCGTTGGAAATACTTTCTAGTGAGTCAAAAGTGAATAAATATCTTGTCTAAAAATTTTACAATTACACAGTGCTTGTTTTTTATTCATTTGAAACTAAATTCTTATTTTTATTTCATATAGATCGTATTCATACAGCTGATTCATGTCAAAAAATTCTTGAAAATAATCGTCGTATAATAAATGATGATCGTCTTATTTCTCATATAAATTCATGTTCAGAACCATCACCTATATCACCATATGGTAAACATATTTATTCATATCATATTCTTGAACAAACAATACGTCAAATATTTGAAAAAGATCATCATCAACCAATTATTGTTGTACCGGGTTTAATGTTAGGTGCGACAGATAGTAAATTATATACGAATCTATCAAAAAATTTATATCGTTTTTCTCCATTTGTTTACCGTCACGATGATTTAGATCGTCTTCATGGTGATAATGAACGTATAAGACATAGTGATATGCAACGAGGCTTAAATTTTTATTTTCATGTTATTCTTAATAATCAACTTGAGAATATACCTGAAACAAAATTAAAGTCAGAACTTTAGGATGAACATTTTTTTCTTTGGACTCATTAAATTTATTTTCTTTTTTTTCTTTTAATCATATGCTAGACAAGCATTTTTTTTTTGATTATCGATTAATAAAAATTTTATTACGCTTCAGTGATGCATACAAATGATATTATTTGAAAGAAAAGGAAAGAAAAAAAGTAATCCATCGTAATGAATTTATGTCATTGAAAAACGTTGAACACGATGATTCTCCCAATCGACGACATAGAGATTGCCATGTCGATCGAAGGACAGGGCACCGAGAAAATTGAACTGATTTGCTCCTTCTCCTTGACCATTTCCACCCACCATGATAATACCCTGTTTTGCTCCTTTAGGCCAACGCATCACTCGATGATTTTTGTAGTCTGCCACATAGATGGTACCCAACGTATCGACGGACAGTCCTTTAGGATGCGACAATTGTGTCGAAGCATTCCCTTGGCCTTGACCTCCAGCGACGACAATTCCTTCTATTGCACCTTTATTCCATTTCATCACACGGTGATTGTAGTAGTCTGCCACGTAGACAGTCTGTTGTTGATCGACAAAGATGTATCTCGGTCCGTCGAATTGATTGAGATCAGCACCTTTGCCATGGCCACCAGCCACTAGAGTTCCATTCTTGTGTCCTATTTGATATCGTCTTACTTCATTTTTTTCGATGTCAGAGATGTAGAGATATCTCTGATCATCCATGGCCAATCCGTAACAATCGATGTAGTTGACGAGAATTTCTCCTTGAATTGTGCCACTGCGACGAGACCATCGTACGACTCGTTGATTTCCTCGATCACAAATAATGAGACTATCCGTCTCTTTGTCGATCAACACATCGGTTGGACGATACAATTGATCCAATCGATTTCCTTCGCCATGCCCACCAGCTACCACTCGTCCATTCGTATCACCCATCTTCCATTGGATGATGCGATGATTGTAGCAATCAGCGATGACCATCGTTTGATCACCATCAACAAAGAGACCATAAGGCCAGTAGAGTTGATTGGTAGCACTACCGTATCTAAGGCCTCCAGCAACGGTCACTCCATTCTGTGCCCATCTGGCACCGATCGGAATATTAGGAATTACTACAATGAACGAAAAAGAAAAGGAATCATCGTTGCCGAAGAGATGCACCTCTTTCGCGGGAGAAAGAGCTATTTAGGAGACATACATCTTCTTGGAAGGGAATTAGGTAAAATTTTCGAGAATATTCTTTTCGTAGAGAAAAATTCAGAAGTCTTTTCCTAGTTTCCTATGAAAAAGACGGATTTCGTAACGATTTTTACATCAATGTTACTTCTACTTCTTACCAAGATCTTTTTGCCCCGAAAAACTACACCATGAGATTGCTGTAAGGAGTTTTTCTCGAGAAAGAACAATGCTACTTCGATGCAAGCTTTTGAAAGAAAAACCTAGGAATCTGAGGATTTTATCGGAAATTGCGAAAATTCAGAATCTTATGAAATAAAATAATGAACTATGTGAAACTCCTAAACTAGAAAAATCCTAAGAAGATTCTATCTGCATCTTATTGGGAAGATGTTGAACAACAAATATCAAACGTAATTTCTATGTTTCTGGGGGAATGTTAAGGATTCAATATGTTAATAAGATCTTAGTGAGATCATATAGGATGTTTCAAAAGTCTTGGCCATTCTAAGAAACTGACTCATTCTCCCTTATTATAAATTCAAAAACGTTCAAAGCTGGAAATATAATCCCTTGTAACTAGTCGAATATCACCCTACATTTTCAGATTTCTAGTCCGTACGATAGAGAAGATTTTTTACCATATCCTAACATGGGAATAGCGAAGGTTTATATAAAAAGAATAAAAGAGAAAGTAAAAAGAAAGACATGAGAATGAGGAAATATTAAGAGAATTATAACGAATCGAATTATATCTCAAGATTAATCCTTTCGCGGTGAGATTATTTTTAGCGAAAAACTTGTTCGTATTTAATTGAAAAATAGTTCTTATTACAGGCTGTTAAAAATTTGTGCAGTTGGAAATCAAAAGAGCCGTTTTTGTTGTTGAAAATCCTAGCAATTACAGAGCTTCGCCATTTATAATATTATTTTTATTAGAAGTGTTTAAATGTAGGACAGGTCTCAAAACATGATGCTACGCATAAGCCAACATTGCATTCCCTACACTCGTAGTTTGTTTTTGTTTTCTGCTTCAGACCACGGATCGTATGGCAGCAGACAAAGAAAAGTCTTCCGCGTCTACGGACCTTTCTATTTTTGGGTGTGGATGTGGGTGGGGGTGGGAGTGTGGGTGAGAAAACAACCACACCCGCACCCAAAATTAGTGCTTTCATAAAAAAACATATCTAAAGGCAGTATTTGGGAAAGAGAAGACTTAAAAATAGAGCAGATGATAGTAGATAATTCTATCAATTCGATTCTAACTGTCAACTATTTAGATCATCTAAAATAGCTTCTTGATAAGCAAAAATCAGGATTGAGTGTGAGCGTAGACGAAGAGAAGATCAGTGCTCACTCATACAAACATCCACACCCGTTTTTGAAATATCAGACCTCGTACTATCTTCCTATGCATTGATGTCAATTTTTCATGTTTTCAGGAAAATCGACTTTTTTTTTGAGTGGAAGGGTGTTGAATAACATGTAAAGATATAACGAAAAAAAATATAATTCTGCTACATTTAAATGTGTTTCTTTTTTCGTATTTTTCCAATTTTTATAACATGTGAACTATTATCTAATATTGACTATACTCAGTTGACATCATTATTAAGAAAGTGTTTAAGTTGTAAAATATGTATAATGAAAAAGAACGAAAAACGAAATTTAATAATTTTTTTAAAAATTTTACTAAGATGTACCTTCTTAACAAAGGTATCAATTGAGTACAATACATGTTCAAGAGAAATTTAGATGTTACATTTAAAAATATATCTTTTCAATCTGTTCGACTTCGTATATGCAAAAATATCGAAAAACAAAATCAATATAAGCTCGAACCTTATGAAATATATAATTGAAACTTATTTATGATATCGCTTTACATGTATCTGCGATTTCAATGGAAGTACTAAAAATTTAGAGCCAAACTCCTATTCAGCCATTTGTCTTCGGTAGCCAATCTACCATCTAGATTAATTCTTAACTAACTACTATAAAAAAAAAGATGCAATCAATGGCCAAAAAAATATGTCAAGTAATGCATGAATAGAAATGAAAATGCGACAAAACAAAAGAATTGGTTACTACGTTATATAAGTGGAAGAGAAAAATATTCTAAGGAACGAGAAAATTAATATAAAATAATATGGAGATGAACAAAATCGAACAGAAGCAAAAAACGAAAAAATATACGTTTCAAGCAGTAAATAAACAATTAGGTCACTGAAAAAATAACCTTTGTTTCAAACTTGAAATGGTCGATATACTGAAGTACTCTAAAGAAATGAAGAATCATGAAAACTAAATCCACAAAGTCACCTGAAATCGGACAAGAAAAGAAAACTCATAAACATGCGTTTTATTTTAATTTCACTGTCTTTATTATAAAATTTATATTTGTATTTGCTTCTCTGGAAGAGAAATGTTACCTTGAGTATATTCTAGGACTGTCTGGAAACCCATTGCAAAGAAATGATTGGTAAATCACGTAATTGATGGCAATTATCGACTAGTCAAATGAGAAGAATGAAACAAAATATTTATAGCTTGGATATATAAACTATTTAGTCGTCTAATTATGAGCGAAATCAGTCGTTGCGGAGAGATACAAAAATTTCTTCATTATCACTATTCTATTCGATTTTTTTGAACTATTTGTTCAAAATCTTCATACAAGAATCTAGTCTAGAGTTCTCATTATAGAATATCGGAAATCAGTTGCATACTTGCAAAAAAAGAATTCTTGTCCAAATTTGCCAACATACAATTAGTAGATTTTCAAGAGCAAGCAATTCTTATCCTCAGAAGATAAAACACTGATCCTGGATCCGATGTTGATACGATAATATCAGAATTTGACAAAGGCAAGAACGAATCTCATGTGACAAAAAAGGTTGTAACATGAATTCAAAAGGTTTTGACAAGGCCTTCTCGCAATCTTCATAGTAGAATCTGATTGAAATTCATGGCCACATCAGGCTACGATCTTACCAAGAAAATGATATACTCTGACAGAATTCCAAGCTTCTAGGTCTTGGTATGATATCATGAGGATCCCACGAATCTGATTCGTGCCTGCTCTTAGAACCTTCACGGTAACATTTCACTAACTTTTTTGATGACTTTCAAGAATATGCATTTCGAATGCGTGCACAAGTAGTGATAATTCTAACAAGGGTTGTGATTTCAAAACTCAGAAATTCATCTAGGATCTTTGAGGATGATTTTCTTGAGACTCACTCAGATAACTAAGAAAAAAAAAACTCATAAAAACACGTCGAAATTATAACGAAAATAAGGGTGTTGATGTGGGTGTGTGTCTTCTCTTCGACAACATGTATATCCCACATTCTGCGAGTATGATTGCTATATGTAGAGCACCGACTATGATTCAGGCAATTCTAGACAAGAAACCTAATTAAATATTATGGAAAACTAAATGACAATCTTATATATTGCTGAGATTTTGTTTTAGAAATGAATTGTTTTTTCGATAAAATTAATAGAAATTTTATCTTTAAACTGAATGAAACTGGATTCACAGATCTTTGAAAACTTTTTTCGATTCTATTCAACTCAACTCATGAGTTGGAAATTTTCTCCGAATTTGACTCATGAATTGAGTTGCCAACTATGAATTGAACGTATAATAACATGTAAATATATACGATTAAAAAGTCATTCTACTTTTAAGAAGCTTATCTAACTCCTGCACATTCTGTGAAAGTAACATATATGAAGCTTGTGTTTTAGATTTCGAACAATTTTGAATCTTTTCTTTGTATTTTTCGAATATTTGAAGCTGAACTGATATAAGAAATATAGGTCTGAGATATCTGGACTACCGTCTAAAATTGCCTTACTGAAATAACATGATTATTAAGAATATATGTTATTGGAAAATATGTTAGAATATATTTATCAATTTTTTTTTTGTTAGGATAAGACGGCTTGTCCAAACGTAACGCTGTTACGTTTTTGATATACTCTTCTCCAACTTTCTCGAAAAGTTTAAGAGCTAGGAAGTTCGTTCAAACGTCATTCGACGCAGTTTATCGAACTTCATTTATCATATAAAAATGACCTTTTTTGATTGAAGTCTCAGGCATCTAGAAATGTTTTATCAGGGCGTAACGCTGTTACATAAAAGGACCCTTTTTTCCCAGTGCCACTGAGAAAACTCTAATTTCTTGCGAAATCATTTCTTCAAATGCAATGCTCCAAGAATCACTTTTGTAGAGCATTGAATAGACTTTCAGGCAGTAAAAAAGATTTTCTCTAAAACATTTTTGTTCAAATAAAAAATGCAAAACACAAACGTAACGCTGTTACGTTTTTCGTAACACTGTTACACAGTTTTTTGTTGACCAATTTTGAGGCACTTAGTGTACTCGGAATTACTTGATTTTTATAATTGTTACTGTTTTATAAGTAGACAATCTCCTCTGAAAAAATGAGATTGATACATCGATCTGAGAGCTTATAAACTGGGCAGGAAGTTGGAAACCTTATCGAAGCTTTCAATCCATTCTAAGCTACCAAAGTCAAAACTAAATAGACCATTTTGTAGAGAATTTAATTCTGCATCGAATGGTATGTCTCTTAGCCCTTGTTCAAAAAATTTCTTGGTTAAAAAACCCAAAATACGGTTTTTGAAAATTTTAAAATCCGATTTTTGATATCAAAATCTGATTTTTATGCTAAATCAATATCAAATTCGTAATCAGCGTAAAAAACTGCATCTAATAGTCCAATGAGATCTGTCCAACTCGAAAAAAAATTTTTTCAAAACTTGATCAGCGAAGTGTCGCGTTACGCGGACAAGCCGAAGAACACTATTAGTCGCGCATAGTCACTGAGAGTCGTTTTTATTATTATGTTCTTAAATAGGTTTAGACCTGATTTTTTTTACATGATTAAGATAAAAATATAATTAAAAAGAATGAATAAATAAATCTGATAAAGTTATTTAAATAGTTTTACTAATAATGTACCCTCTGAACAAGAACCGAGGTGAGTGCGATACACTCGGTAACTTGTATATGAATGCAACAATGGGAACAAAGCCCTGCTATTTTCTAATGAAGAAAAAACAAAAATCTACTGCGAAAGAACACAAAATGCAACAACAAAAGCGGAAAATATTTTCTTGATTGCCAATTATTTCTTGACATTTTTTTTTGCAACGTTACCATTAGAAAATATAGCATTAGAAAACATAATATTGTTAATGGTATTCTCTTCTAAGTGCATATTGTTCGTCTAATTTCGCTAATTTTAATGATCTTCATTTGATACTTATTGACTCGATATATTTTCTATCAACTAATTTCTTTTGTTCTCGTTTATTTAAGCTATCAAATAGATTAAATTTCAAGGATAGAAATTAAACGATTGTGACTCATATTGAAGTTGTTTTCAATGATTACGTATCGACCTGGCACTTTAGATTGTGCCACTGTAATTTATTATAATGTGACAAAATAAAATTTGGGTTTTCTTCTACCTGAAAATTAAGTATAGTACATTATTTTCAATGAGTAAAATAAAAAAAACGATCAAGATTTCTGCCATCGTTCCAGAGTAATTACTGACATGTGAACATCTCAAGTCAAGACGCGAATCAAGCAGACGTAAGATATGAATTACACTGAGTATATAACATTGCTTTTTAGAACCTGAAATAATTTAACTCTCTTCCTGGGTGTTATAAATTTTTGCATAATTCGCGATAGCATAGTGAAATCTACCGATTTGATATATTTCTGACTTTTTTTGTAGCAGTCTAATCCGTTTTATTTCAAACTTAATTTTGTCACCTGTGTATAATTGGCAAAAAAAGCATTTTCGTACACTACATTGAATTCTAATAAATCTACAAAATATTCTGGTTGTTTCGCAACGTATTATTCTGATCTCAGAAAGAAAGAAATAGTTAGGTGAAGAAAGGATTAAAAACAAAAACAAAAACTCAGACTATTACCTTCTTAATCAGTATAGAACAGTAGTTGCTCTCACAAAAGAATAAGAATAATAAATAAACGTTACAGAATGTTAATAGCAAAGTGTAAGCATGTTGAAAAAAGTATAAAAAGAAAGTAGCAGCAATGTGAAAAACTAAACGAATCCTGGGAGTTGAGTGAATTCAAACTATGCACGATGTTCTCCAAAAAATCCAAATCAACCTATAAATACATGTATGTCGAGGAATTCAAGGTACCTGAAAATTCTCGGAATTTAAAGATTGTCAGCAATAGGGGCGGGAAGTTACCGTTACCCGGGAGTTACGTTACCGGGTAACTAGTAACTTTTGAGTTACTAGTTACCGAGTAACTAGTAACGCCGGAGTTACCAGTTACCAGGTAACTAGTAACTTCGAAGTTACTAGTTACTTTTTGTAGGTAACTTGTCTAAAAAGTCGAGATATCGCTTCCTAATGACTGAATATCATCTATTCATCACTCAATTAAATTACGAGTTACTTGGTAACTAGTAACTCCTATGTGCGTTACTAGTTACTCGGTAACTCGTGAGCTGAATAAGTACTGTAATGATGGTATTCACTCATTAGGAAGCGATATCTCCACTTTTTAGATAAGTTACCTACCAAAAGTAACTAGTAACTCCGAAGTTACTAGTTACCTGGTAACTGGTAACTCCGACGTTACTAGTTACTCGGTAACTAGTAACTTGCGAGTTACTAGTTACTTGGTAACGTAACGGTAACTTCCCACCCCTAGTCAGCAACCGGATGAATCAAAAAAATCTGTGAAACATGAAAAATTTGAGAAACCCATGGAATCGCCGAAATATTATGAATCAATAGAATTGTAGGAATCCGAAATATGCATTGAATGCAGAGAACTTTGAGAATGTACGTGAAGCTGGAGAAAAGAATCTTATGCATCTTCCAAGGATAAAACAGAAAAAGAAGAATGACTGATGAAGAAAATATCTCATGATGAAGAATGTAAGAGCACATTCAAAAAAATGTCCTTTATCAACAAATGGTCGAAAGAACCAAAAAAAAAAAGAATGCTACATGTTTTTTCTTGTCGAGCTTCATCACTTATCGACATGTTTCAATACTAAATTTCGTCGTGTCAAAAGCAGCATGAGAGACTTATCGACCAAAACATATCTATTGAGTCGCATCAATTTATAAAATGTAAAAATCTCGTTTGACAAGAGTAGTTTTCATACAACATCCAGACTTTTCACCACCACTTCGTTCTACAAGTGAACACAGCTAAGGAAAACTTAGCATGTAATACAATATCCATGTGTCAAATTACAATCTTCTGCAGATTTCCTGAAATCTCTCCTTATCGCGTTTAATGTACAAACTAACATGCCACAAATCTACCAGATTTCCTTATTGACAGAAGTCAGGGAGTCCAAAATATCCTACGAACTCTAGAAACTGCACGAGCTATCGAAATTCAACGAAGTGAAGAAACTTAGCGATTTCGAACATATCAATAAAGTCTAGAAACTTATTGAGACAGAGGAAACTACGAAACTCAAGAACCCGTTGGTAGACAAAAATCTGTATGAATTCAGAGAAATCGAGAAAGTTATGAAACTCTACAAACTAAACCAATAACATGATTTTGAGGGACTTAAGTGTCTTCGAGCAATCGAAGGATCATTGAAACTGAAAGTAGCATGATAAAGAAGAGAACTCAAAGAAGTGAAGGATTCCCAGGAACTTCTGCACAAGTATTGATAAAAAAAATATTGAAAAAAAGTGAATCAAACGATTTTGCGATGAGTTTTTTTTTCTTTTCTTAGTTTGAAAGTTATGGAAATTTGAATTGGCCATCATATAAATATTGACGTTGTCACTAAAATCTGAGTGGAAAAGGATTAAATACGAAACAGAAACTGGTTGATTTCAACGAACAAGAAAAAAATTTATGTATACTTTTACATGTGACATGTAAATGTAGCTTATCCTAGCCAAGACACTTATAAGATAATGTACTCCATTCGTTTAGGTACATTGATTTGTAATAATAGATTCTTCTATTCTAGCCTCTTTTGCTGCACAATCCAAAACACAAGTATAAGTAATAACATTTGTTCTATTTACATGTCTTTGACAAAAGCTAACGATCATGTAATGTTAACGACAAGGCACCGCCAATCTGCAAGAACAAGATAGTTGTATTGATAATATATCAAAAGCATGTTTCTAAATAGAGTAAGGGTTAATAGAATTCTGCTAGCCATTGCCCTCTAACGACTATTACATATACAGTCGTCGTTCTAAATGAAAACCATTGGACCTATGTCAGTGTCATCTAGAAAGTGAACGAATGCAAACGTCTTATTCATTACTGAACAAAGATAGAATGATCGTAAAATTCTATTTTGTTGCTAATTTATTACTCAATGTTCAATTAGATTATGCGGTTCTAGTAATTCTATTCACTTTAAAGAAACATTTTCAACAGTCATATGGTCAATGATACGAAAACTCAACACATCGAGCTGAACCCATTGTTGAGATAATATGAGGGCACACAATTGCTTTACAAGACAGAGCCATTGCATTCTTTTTATTTAAAAAATGATTACATCCTTTCGCTGAGAAGTCATGGCAGAAATGCAAGGCGGAGAAAAAAATCATTCTGATTAGACACTTATGCGTTCTGTCTATAAATAAATTATGCCATTTCTACAAAACAGTCGAGTACCTTCGCACGTGTAAATTATGGAAAAACGAGTAAAATTCTTCGAACAGTGATCATATGATCTACGATTGTCACTAGTGTATTCAGTGCGTCTGAGCAATGACAATAATTTTATTCACATAACATTCACCATCACTAATCATTCTCACTTCCAAGTCAATCATCAACAATAACTTACCTTTAATTGATGGTGCATTAACTGCTGCGGCCCACATCTACAAGTATGAGACATTCGATGAATATCTATTTTTTAAGGTGATTATCCTCTTACCTTATTGGTGATGGAACTAACTGCTGTATTTGCGAGACTGAAAGAGACTGCCGCAGTTGAATCGATCTATAAACAAAAGGAAATGGGTGTGAACAGAAAAATCGCACTAACGAGGGAACACCCCCAGGTGAAGCTCCGCTTTTGACATGATATTTTGCCCATATGTAGGCCTTAGTAAGACTAGAAAAATCTCAAAAGGATTTGGATTTCTATGGCTTCCTTGTTGAGATATGAAGTTCACATCTTCTCTAACAGTGCTATGGTTTATATTGGAATACGATGCAATGTCGATTTTTTCAAAACGATGTGAAATACAGACTAACAGTTTTTTTTTGCGTGAACTCCATTTCATAGTGGCCATATGTCACACACTGTTTTAGCTCTGACAAAGGCTTCTAACCACACATATCAAGCTTCCTTGCCTAACACTAACTTGCATGAAAGAGAGCTTCCAAAATGAAGCCTAGTTTTTTAGACGAGTCGTGTATGAACACGCGCTTAATTTAATAAGCGACAGTATTGACTTTATTCTTTCATACTGTTTCGTTATGCTTGGTACACGAGCGACTAATTAATGACTGATCCTGGTTATTTTTCTACAGTCAAAGATATTTGCTTCAGTCTGGAAAAGTCGGTCTACGAAGAGAAAAATTGCGGCAACTCTTCTTTTATCAAGTGTAGTTGGTGTCGCAAAGTGTTGTGTTTTGAACATTTTTTCTTTGCCTATCATATGGACTAATTCATCATACTGTGAAAGTTCAGTTGTTCCCGTTGCATTGCGTAGGTTCACTTTATGTTAGTATTCACTTTTGTTCATGATACATAAGGATTTCAGCATATACTCAATAAGACTGTTCTGGACATGCAGGAACTTGTGAAAAACATAGAGTTGACCATCGAAATCTTTGCTAGAGCTAAAAAAGTGTGTGATATATGGCCACTATAAAATGGAGTTCACGCAAAGAAAACTGTTAGTCTGTATTTCATATAGTTGTGAAAAAAATCGGCATTGCATCGTATTCCAATATAAATAATAGCACTGCAAGAGAAGATGTGAACTTCATATCTCAACAAGAAAACCATAGAAACCCTAACCACTTTGAGGTTTTTCTAGTCTCACTAAGGCCTACATATGGGCAAAATATCACGTCAAAAGCGGAGCTTTACTTGGGGCTGTTCCCTCGTTAGTACATTCACTTTCAAATGACTGATATGTTTAGCTAATAATTTTACAACTGATTAATCTCTCACTTTTATCATAATTATTTTCGAAAATTAGAGAAAACCTAGTAAGTCTTACAAATGATATCTAAAGTACCTTTAGGCATGTAAGAATCAAATATGACAGTTTTATTTTCGCAGTTGACTCATCTAATGTGATGTTGCAGTACGATTTTAGAGGTTAGTTTCGATTCTATTGAGAATAATGAGCATGTTTTGTATTTTTTTAAAAACTTTTCTTATGTATTTTAATTTGTCATGATCAATGATCGAAAATGACAATATAATTTTTATTATTTAATGCAACTATAGAAAGACAAACCCGATCGAGTGTATTATTCAAGAGAGAACATCAATAGTAAAAAGTGCAAGACAGAGATTTCACAGAATAACAGGGTTGCATGTTGAAGAAATATGTAACTATTAAATGCAGACACAGCATGATTGTTACTCTTTGTAAAGATATTTGCTTGTAATTATTTCATGTACAGCTATAACTTATTTAGAAAAATGTGTACGGCAGAATAAATGGCAATCTCAATGTTCTTCTAAATATCTTAGTTTGTTCTCGTCACTTCGAAACAAACTTCTCTTATAAAAAGATTCATCGTTTAACTCTCTATGAAATTGTACCCTTCTATAAAAGAATGCATAATTTATAGATTTTCGATACACATCACTAACGACCACTGGAAAATATACAACTTTTCAAGTTCGTCTTTACGAAATTTTATTATTACATTTTTTAATTGTTAAAGTAATATTATGTTTGACTTTCATCAGTTACTATTCCTGATTTACAAACTTTAATTCGCATTGACTAGTCTAACTAATTTGTAAATTGATTGTTCGAAGGCTAAGTACTCTTATTAATACAAGAAAGAAAGTTGTGTCATGGCATCATCACTGGGTTAAATGATGGTATGCAGTTTTGTACTATTGTGCTTAAATATTCAGTCATTGCTAAACAACCTATTCTTATCGTTTTTGGTAGGTGAACTGGTTGTGTGGTTTAAAAAACGTGAAGAAGATATGGTTCTTATACAAAAATGGCAATTTTAGCAATTTCATGCGAAGTCAGAAATCAGCCTTTAATCTAATGCTGATTCTTGACATCGCTTTCTATCTTAAATTGATAAGGATCATTGGTCTTCGAACAGTCAATATACAAATTAGTTAGACTAGTCAATATGAAGTGAAATTTCCAAGTCACAAATAGTAACAGATGAAAATCGAAAAAAATAACATAACTTGAACAATAAAAAAAGTGTAGTAATAAAATTTCGTAAAAAGACAAACTTCGAAAGTAGTATATTTTCCAGTCATCGTTTGTGTTGTGTATCGAAAACCATAAAGCATACTTTCGTTAATAGAACTAGACGATTTTGTAGAAAATTCAAAGATGAATCTTTTTATAAGAAAACTTTGCTTCGAAATGATGAGAATAAACTATGATATTGAGAAGAAGAATAAAAGATTTCCAGGAGAAAACAATTGATGAATTCATGAAAATGACATGAATTTCGACAAGAAAAATCATCAATCTAATTCTTTTGATAAAGTAGTGGTGGAATCAGAAATCTTCAGGGAGACAGGGGTCACACGACTAGCTTCTGAAAGTATTTTTACGATCATAAAGATTATTTATTTGTTGTAAAACAAAAGGGACGATAGTATTTTTCATTCTTTCAGAAAAAAAACAAAAAATAATGTTACATATATTTCATTCTTTTTGAATCTTCGATAACAGACCTATAATACATCAGTATTGTGATCGAACGATGAACTAACTGATAGAACAGCTGTAAACAGTCAATATCGAAAGAAATTATTGGGATAACTGAAGCTTAACTATAAATTGTAGCCATTGAAGACGTAGAATTATCTCTAGTTCTCTCAAGTCCATTCTTTCTTCCATTAATTAGATGAGTGCTTTATCAAATTTGTGGATAAGAAAGACTAATATCTGAAAGATTAATATTGACTTTTTTCAGATATTGTTACCATGGATGATAAGGATGACACTACAATAGTTTGAGAGGCGCATTTCTGAAGCAACGAGGATTTTCAATTGATTCTGTTATCTATAAAAATTCATTATTTGTCGATGTAAAATACTCAATTTTTTCATTTTTTTTTCTCTGTCGAAGATGATTCGAAAACTAGTTGAATAGTAATATGTTTCGATTTTTTTATTGTAAGGCTGAATTTTAAAGACAATATTGGTATTATCAACTCAGCTTTACAAAACTTAGTTTATGTGTCAGCTGTAATATGCATGACTAAAGGAATAAAATTTACGAGTCAAACAACAGTCTATCAATTACTGCCAGAACAATAGTGTTCATTTTTTTCTTAGAACTAAACTATAGAATGCTCTAACAACTCATCGATTAAGTCCAAACTCTACGATTGAATAAAAAAGAAACGCGAATGATTTGTGTTCGCTTCACTTTTATCCTCTTTGTAAATTGCTAAGTGATTGGGCATCGTCCAACCTATTTCTACCGTGGAATACCACTACGATCAAGTGCAGAGTTAAGATAACCTTGAGTAGTTATTTCACAGAAAGTAAAGAAACTTTAAGTCGCTACTTTCTTCGTTTATACTAGCAATCATGTCGAGATGTAGTTTATTCACTTAATCGAAACAGACCAGAGTTAATTAATCTAAAGAGTGATTCAGAGGTGTTGGGTTCAGTTAGAAAAATTACTTTTTTCTCTTGTATCAAGCTAAAAAACGCTCAAAATTTTGCTTCAAATTCTTTGCAACAAGATGAATACTATCCTACATTTTCACATATCAAAACCTTAATAATAAATTAAGCGTATAGGTTCATATTATGGAAAACAAATTTTCCTATTATCAAATAAGGATAACCCTCTGTCATCGTATGATGATAACTTTCTGTAGATAGCCTTTTTTTCACTTTTGAATGGCACCAAAGAAGATCAGGTAAGTCTTCTTGACCTTTTTTGTGATGTAGAGTCTTTCATTCTAATAAGTTTACTTTTTATGTATCAAAACAGACTAATTATGAAACATGATTGTTAATGAACCTTGAAGTGTGCACAGAGAAAGTTAGTCTCTACCTCCGTACAGTTGCAGCCTGTTTAAAAATAATCTTCCTAGAATATAGAACTATTCTGATTTATTTTCTCTTCTAAGGAGATAACAGAATGAATTCGTTCAGCTCATTGATTATTATGTTCTCATTTGTAGTCTTGTTCTTCTTTGCCAGTACCGCATTCTTAATGTGAATCCCATGTTATCTGCATTTGTGATCATGACCAATGCAAACAATATAGTCTCTGCCTCTCAGAAAACTATTCTTCTTTGTCCTACAGCATGTGACATACACATTATTTACGTTATTCTTTTCTCTTTTTTTACTTGAAAAGGATTTGGTCAGTCAGTACTACTTCCTGATTAGCAGTTATATCAATCCATAAATCGTATGGGTTACACGATCTATAGAAGTTTGCGACCCAAAAAGAAGTAGATATCAACAAAAAGGTATGATATTTGCTAATATTTCATTGAATATCTGTTTACTTATGCAAACAGAACATACTTTGCAGTACTACAGCAGTGACATTTTTATGCGAGTATGCAATAGTTTCGCACCAAATCCTTGACATATTCTAGAAATCTCACATGAAAACTTACTTGAATGTGTGAGTGAAGAAATGACACGAGTACTTCTGTTTGTATAGATAATGGTACTTGATTTGTAACTTGTAAGTATAATTGATTGAGCACGTAATAATCGTTCTAATTAAGATTCACTGTATATTATTCAATAAATCTGAAATAGAATTGTTATGTTTACAATTGAATTGGCAATGATCGTTCTCGTTAATGGCAAAACATATATAAGTTATCCATCAAACATACCGTTCGGAAGGTGTGTGTGGGTGTGGGTGTGTGGAAGTTGATGCTGGTGAGGAAAAAGTCTATACGCGCACTCATATCGGCACATATACCCACATCACATCCTTTCAACTACATCATTATCAAGAGAATTGAAATCTGAACAAAATTGTATACTATTTGTGTTAAAACGATACGCTTAGTAAGCTAGTAATTATGTTAGTAAATTTCGCTACTATACTATGCTATTATTATGGTATGGTTGAACTTTTCAATACCACTTTAAAACTTAGGATGTCATCTATTTTACAGAGCAGACTTTTCACCTTTGAATGAGACCTAACTATCATCTATGTAATGCGAGCTTTAGTCGGTACAACGATTTCGATAAGGCTAAGCGTTTTATCGATAAAAATAAACTAGAAAATATCTTTCAAATCGTTCATGAAAAGTAAAACCGCTGCACCGACTAAAGAGCGCATTACATAGATATGGCAGTTATGTCTCATTCGAAAGTGGGAAGTTTGCTCTATAAAAATACATTATACCCGAAGATTTGAAGTTACATTTATAAAGCTCAATCGCACTAAAAAAATTGTATAATATACTAAATAGTAAACTTTTCTAATACTTTTACTATCTTACTAAAACGAATCATTTTGACACAACTAATATATAATTTATTTCAGTTTTCAGTGTTCTTTGTAATGATATAGTCAACCGTTAAAAGTTAAAGTAAAACTTTTCTAAAACTGTTAGTTAATATTAATTGATTAATAATAATATAGCCTATTCAATTTTGCATCAAACGGTGTATAATAAAATGTTTAACGATCATTGAATTGTAAAAACTTAATAAAACATTAAAAGTACTTTGAAATATTGTTCGTTGGCGCAAAATGGCTTATAGAATAGAAACTCAAACAATTGAATGTAAGAGAGAATTTCTATCTCAGCTTTATAGTCGATTCTGAGGTCTATCAAAATCGCTCTTTGATCTCTTTGATAGGCCATGTTCAAGTAAAACTATTCATAAAACAAAAAAGTATCTGACATTTTTGTCTTCTACTTCATATTTTGTCTGTTATCTTTTTAAAATTTCACTTCAACAGTATATGAAACTGAAAATGCTCAACGACCTTATTTAACATCGACTCATAATAAGGCACAGTAAGTCCAAAAGAGGAAAAGAAAAACAAATCTAATATTTAAACAAATTCACTCGATTATTTCTAGTATTCAACGATTTTTCAAATGAATTAGAAAAATCTTTGAGTACAGCAGCAAGAAAAGAACCATTATATAAAACAAATTATTCAGCATGCCAATGTATTGTTACTGAATTTATTAAAATAATTCGATACACATGGTTATCAAAGAAAGTAAAATATCTTTTGAAAATATTTCAAAATTATTGTAAATTTTTAGGATTCATCTCTTGAACAAAGTGTTTTCTTTAGTTTAAATGGTTATTCAACATTAAATAAAATGATTGAACTAACAGTGACACGTGATAAGCCAGTACTTGCATCTGAAAGATAATCTTGCTTTTTTTTTAATAAAATAAAATACAGAGTGGTGCAAAAGTTACCCGAGAGTCTTTGTTTGCGAACAACTTTTGATAAGAACAATAAAAAAAAAAGATGCAGCTTTTATCCTTCCAAAGAAACTGTGTCACTATATGGTTCTATGTAGGATTCAAAAATGTCAATCAATGATCGAATTGTCACTCAATGCGCTTCAGAAAAATACTGATAGCTCTATGAAGGTGACAGTACTAGGCAGAGCTGCCACCTCTTCTGCTTTTAGCAGAAAAATTCTACTGTTTGGAGTTTTTTCTGTTTTCTTTCTGTCGTTTCTGCTTTTTTTGATGCGGTGTTATTTATTATTTCAATCAACATTTTTCACCTAAAATACCTTCGGTTCCATAGTTATTAAAAAAAACCGTATCAAAAACTACTGATATTATTGTGCCATTCTAATTCTTTCTATTTGATACAGATGATTTTTTTATTTTCTACTGACTAAAAACAACTACCAATCTATATATTTGACTTTAAATCAATTCTTTACCTATGGTTCTCTGTTATATTTTAATTACTCATGTAATTCATATACATCAACATATACATTCTTTCGTTTGTTTACTCAATGAACATGAATAATTAATATGATTAGTGAGAGAAAAGGAACAGAAAAAACACCTTTAGATGATAATGACAGCCCGACTAGTGAAGAAGGTATTCACAAAGCAGTGTTAGTTGCTGAAGTAATAAATATGTCATCAGGAGTTAAACCAGGAAACAAAAATTGAATAGAGTTATCTTCAACAGAGAATGGTTCACAGTCATCGAATATTAATGATCTTTAAAGAATATAAATTTGATTCGTCTCAACTAACATTTATTGTTCGTCATCAACAGTTTTCCGAACATTGCTAATAAAAAGCTAATATTGATAAACCTATGAACAATAAGAAACAAAAAAATTTTAAACGCTATGACTTAATCAACAACTATTTTGAATTTCTCCTTATCATATACTGTAATAGATAAATATTTATTAGGTAAAAAAGATTTGTCAAAAGCTCTTAAATTAGATGAAGAATACTCTTTAAAAATAAAACGTGTTCAATGATTCTGTCTATCTGTTAATTAGTTGTGTTTTGTGATGCCATGCAATGCGAGTGATTAGTATACTTAAACTAAAATTTAAAACTTACGGATAGCTCGTAATAAAAGATGGTCTCAGTATTTTGTTTCATCTTAAGCGTTATCTTATCGCTCACGCTTTATTTTTTTATCGAAAGATTCACCATCTGATTCTGCAGATATTGGTATATTTCGCTGTAAAAAACGCTTATCTCTCTTTTAACATCATCATAATTTAAAACAAGCATTACACACAACTTTCAAAGTCTTCATTTTTTTCAATTTTTTCCAAAATGTCCGGCTTTTCAATTAATCCTGTTACTTTGAGTATAATTTATTCGCCACTCAAGAGATAAATTGGTTCATTTCAATCAATGTACCAAAGGCAATTTACCTTATTACTGGATAAAGAATATGGCATGCCCAATAATAATAAGAACAATCTAAGGACTGGATGTTTTTGGAAAAAATTGAAAAAAAGAGAGATTTTGAAAGTCATGTGTAGTGCTATTTTTAAATCGTGGTGATGCTGAAAGAGAAAGAAATAAGTATTTTTACAACGAAATATGCAAATTATGTAGAAGCAGACGGTGAATCTTTTGATAAAAAAATAAAGCGTGAGCGATAAGATAACGCTTAAGATGTTAACAAAATACTGAGACCCTCTTATACTACGAGCTACCCATTTAGTTTCATATTATAAACATACTTTCTGCTGTCCTTCTGCTTTTCGATGATAAAACTTCTGTTATTTTCTGCTTTTTGCAAAGTATTTTCTGCTTTTCGGACTTCAAAAGGTGACAGCACTGGTGCTGGTATAGATTGAGTTAAGACTAACACCAACACTCACATCCGTGGTTGTGTCTTTGAATGTATGTATGTGACTGTGGGATCCATGCCGAGCTGCGACTGCGAGTGTTCTTCTTACCGTCATCAACACTGAGGCAATCACTCCTACGCCTACACATATTCGCTTGTTCCTGATATATACCTTCTTAATTTCCTCTCTTCTGATGGATCTCCTACCTGATGTTGCGTTCTACACTTGAATGCGTATAGTCGTTGAATTGATATGTTATAAAAGCCAAAAATGCAGCAGCACTCGTCCCCTTATATAGATTACTTTATCACTGAAGAGGCGACCTTGAAGAAAGCAACGATAAAATTTACTACTGACGAAATAGACACAGCGATAAAATATTATTACCTTATCTTTATAGGTGGGCTTTTTTTGCAGATATTTGTGTAGCTAGAGCAAAGTTGTCTTTAACCGACAAAGCTTAACACATGCTGGGAAAAAAGTAAAAGCAATAAATTCTCTGAAAAGTTCGACGATTGACATCAAGAGTTACTTGTTTTTGTTCTGGATGTGCTGCGGGTGTATAGTATGTGGTGAATATGAGTGTAGCTGTATGGGGTGTGGTGGGTTTGGGTTTGGCTGTGACTGAATGTCGGTGTGGATTTGACTATGACTGTGCGGTGTAGGGTATAGGCATGCACCGAACTCGAGCTTCCCAGGGTTCGATATTCCTGGGTTCGGTGACTCTCGGGTTCAGTGACTTTCGGGTTTGGTCGTTTTCGGGTATGGGTGTGGGCGTGGATCTTCTCTTCCACAAAACCCATGCCCACATCCTGTTTTCGACCAGAATCGAAATAATTTTTGAATTTCAAAACATTATTGTGATTATTTGTCTCATCCTCACCCTCCGGTCGTATGAAGCTTGAAATTTTTCTTAAAAAATTTCGATGACAAGCCCTCACCCTCATATCCTCATCTTCGAAGGGAAAAATAAAATGGACCGATTTGCTTGCCTATACACCCCTTTTCTTTTCTTTTTTTTATTCATTTGCTGATAAAAAGAAGAAAGAACTAATAAGAACATAATAATGAAAAATAAGGGAAAGGAATGAAGCGGAACAATTAATTGGATGTGGTGGTAATAAAGAAAAAACCTGGCAGGTTGGTCGCTCAGTTTGATTTGTATAGAATAAAAAGATGAAAAATTAATCATACTGGTCAACTGGTCCAGTCTCATTTATTAAATAAAGTATATATGTGCTTAGTTGGAAAAAGAAATCAAAAGCTACAGCATATTAAATAAAAAAACTTCAAGTCGATGAGAAAAGTACCGGCGTTAGATGAGAATAATTTGAAGTAAAGCAGTTATGGTAAGGAGAAAGAATCATGCAGATTACTGATGTCCAACACCCATACGCGCATTTGATACCAACATTGAACTACTGCCAGTCAAAGAATTGGCTGATGATGATGAACTACCAGTACTACTTCGGAATACAATAATTGTAGCACCCATTCCAGGATGATAATTACACCCATAATAATAAGTGCCAGCAGCAATGAAATTAGCAGAAGTACTATCACCTGCTTTAGTAATTGGAATATTGAGTACATCAGTACCATTGGCTCCGGCGCAGAATTTGGGCAGTGAGCTGTTTTTGCAGATTGTTAACGGATGAATTGGAACATTTGTGGCCAAGTTGAATTCTAATTTATCGCCAACGTTTAAGTATAGCTTTGGACTGATGATATCATTCACAGCGAAAGTGTGATTGAAATGGGTTGGATTTCCTCCAGGGCAACTTGAATTCCAAACACATGGAACAAAAGTGACAGTATACTTTACAGTATGTGCCGAAACACTAAAGAACGCTACAACAGACAATACAACCAATAATAAGTTTGACATACGAGTCATCTATGGTAGATACGTAGTTGATAGTTAATGTGTAGAATGAGAGAAAAGTTTAGAATGATATTACCTGCAGAATTCAAGTAAGTATATATATGTTCGCTTTGACCACAAGCTTATCACCACAGCCCGTACACAATTACAATGCGAAACTGACACATTTGATATGCTTTGTCATACTCTTGCTGAAGAACATGATCCAGCATTTTATATATCTTACGTGCACCTATGTAGAAAACAGAAATAGCTTATCAGCGTCATCTCTCACCGGGCTAAAATGTGAAGCTCACATTAACTATCAGGTTCTACATTAAAGAATAAACAGTGAATGAACACAGAAGACTCTGTAAATCAAGAACACTCCAAGTGGAATGTTGTCTCTGTCTATTATGTGATTAGCAGAACTCTTGTAATTTTCTTATCTTCTCGATGCTTTTCGCTCTGATTCAAAAGTTACGATGCTTTTATAATTCACCTCTCTTCTTCGTTTCAGTTCATTTTCTTGGGTCATCGTTTGCTTTTACTTCGTCGTTTCGAGAATTACAACTCGCGACCGTATGCTCCAGTGTTTTGTCAAACCAAAATAACCTTTACTGTCGCTTCTCGTCAGCATTCGATCATTATTACTTAACGTTGCTTACTTCAATACTTCGTGTCGTGCCTCAGAACGCACCTAATGATACGCTTTTACGGATAATGTCGAAGTCTTTTTCTGCATTTACCGTAGCCATTGAGCAGCTTCGATTATTATATACTATGTTCTTTCGAAGGGTTTTAGAACGTTCTAGAAGGATTCTGCGGTTGACATTTCCTTCTTTTCCTATGAGGCGACCGAAGCTAGAAGATCCCATTCAATCTTATACTCACCATTCTATAGTTACTAGAAAAAATGAGGGTGACGGTGAGGATGTGTTTTCTGAAGCTACCATGATCATGATTTCGTCCTTGCTTAAGGGGCTCATCAGATGGTTCATGAATTTTTGCATGATTCATATCATACTAGCGTTGAATATGTGATACCGATCATGGGTATTCCCGGAGATAATTCATGATGGTAGGGAATGGGTTGTAATTACGTTTTGATAGAAGGTGTTAAGAAACATTGAAATCGAAACGAGAAATAGTGTTAATTTATTAGGGTGTGGGTCTGAAGTGTGGTTTAAAATGAAATGAGCCCACACCCGAAACTTTTTCGAGATTTTCCTTGTGGCTTATCGGTAGAAATCAATCGGATGAAAATACGAGTTAGGAGTCATAAGATAAAATTCTCAAAATTAGATCACAATTTGATAACCATATTGAAATTCGAATCGAAGTTTTAGGTGATTTGACTTTTCATCAATAATCCCCGAGGGAGAATCCAAAGAATTTTCGATGAAAACAAAAAAGATCGTAAAAATAATATTTGTTTTGATGCAAAAAACCCACCCTGATACCTCCACACCCACATCTTTCTATTACAATTTTTTTTAAAGATCCTTTTTTATGACCATTATTATTAAAATTAATTTCTAATTCTTAGCCTTCAAAATTTACATACTTGAAAATCCAATCCTCCGTTTTTATATTCTTTTGTTTGATTTAAGATTTAATTTTTCTATAAGTTGACATTTTATTTTTTCTAAAGAATCTTTCAATTTTCAGTATTTATTATAATTCATATTTTGCATAATTGTTCATTACAACAAACAATGTATTTTAAATCTTTCTTTTCAAGTTGATCTTTTTAAATTAATTAATTAATTAATTAGTTATGTGAAATCATTTTCCTCCTTTTCATAATTTCGTTTCGTTAGATCTTGTCATTATAGAATTCTTTTTACAATACACAATTTAGTCATTGAAATTCATTTTCTGAAAGATAAACTCTCTATCAGACGGAAGGTTGACGATGTTTTCATAGTATGGTCTTCAACTGTGTTTTTGGACCAACTATGATAATTTTAAAAACTATAGGATTGTGTAGCCCGTGAAAAATACTATCGAACTAGCTATAATAGAACCTGGCTTCTCCTGACTTCAACAAAAATCTTAAGTCAACTGTGTAATGTCACATGAAAAATTGACAACGTTTTCTCCGTATGGTCTTTAACTTCTTTTTTGGCCCATCTTTGTTTATTCTAAAACCTATGTGGTTTTGTAGCGCGTGAAAAATGCTATCGAGCCAGCTATAATAGAACCTAACTACTCCTGATTTTATATGTGAAAGGTTGATCTCAAAGACTCATTCGAATGATGAATGTATGCTTGTGGAAATCCTTAAATATACCAGAACGATAGCTCGAATCGGGTATCAAAGTACTCGGGGTGAAAAGTACTTGTATTCTATATATGATTATAATGAGTTCAGTTTGAAAAGTGCTATGGGCCAAATCACGTTCTTATGCGCCCCTGTTCTTTATACAAATTTAGTGGAGAGACTTGATTGAAGATTCAAATTTTTCGTCTTTGACAATAATTTCGTACCGATAATCAATACGAAGTGCAATTATTTTTGATCAGCTACAGATAAATTCTGAACAACTTTTCTCATTTCTAGATGAATTCCAATCAGTTCGAGTCAATTCCAAATCTGGAATAGGAATTGATGAACCCTTATTTGTCACACCTTTCTTTTTCTGGTCGATAAGAACTGTTTTGACTCTTTTTTAAGAAACTCATTGTAATAAGTAGGGAAATGTTCTCAGAAACGAATAGCTATTGTTTGCATACAAACATCGTATAACGTATAATTCCTACAAAAATATAAATGGAACGTTGACTATACTTCTTAAAATGTCATATAAGAATTTCATAATTTAATTTAATTTATAGTTTACAAATTACGAAAAGTAAGTAGTTCATGTTTAAAATAAATATAAATCTACAAGAATTTATGTTTATTATAAATGTAAATTATTTGTTTTCGAAATTTATACTTACAAAATAAATGTAAATTTTCATAATTTATATTTACCAGTAAATGTAAATTGTGACAATATATATTTACTAGCAAATATAAATTATGGCGAAAAATAATTTACATTTATAATAAATGTAAATTGCTGAGAATTTAATTTACTAGTAAATATAAAGCAACACCCCTAGTGGGTACGTTCACTTACTGAAAAGAATGGAACGGTAAAGTTTTTATGTAAAAGAAACTTTCTATTGATCGAAATCGGCTGTGTATGCTTTGAATTTATTTGGAATGCTGTTTTTAAAGACAGCATGTGACGTGCTCCACGAAGAGAACAAATAGAAAAAATTCCAACGAGTAATAGAATATTGCTGTTTCGATTATGTAGTTCTGTTTTTGTAATTGTTTACGAGATAATGCCATTTTTCACATTTTCATTCTTCTCTGGTTACTAGGGTGTGGGTGTGGATGGGTGTGGGTGTGGATGGGTGTGGGTGTGGATGGGTGCATGCGTGGATGCGTGAGTGGAAATAAA